TTTTTGTATCCAGCCTTATTCAAGTGGTTCCAAACGGTTTTTTGTACAGTGTTTAACTTCTGGGCAATCGAAGCAGTGCTTACATGACGGTCGGACTCGACGATTTCCATTATTTTATAGACATTTTCGACAATTGACCTTCCAGAGCGTGGTGTAACTTTGACATCAAAATTACCGGAACGGAATCGACGAAACCAAAATTGCGCGTGATTGGTTGTTACAGTATCAGGACCATAAACACTATTCACATTTTCACCCGCCTAGCTTGCGTTTTCGCCTTTATCGAAGAAAAACTGTAAAATATGGCGTATTTTCTTTTTGCTGGTGTCCATCTTTGACGCACGCGCAAACAATACTAAGTCAAACAATCACAAAACTGTCTGAAAAGTTTCTCTAGTACGAAATCTTATCTTTCTAACGCCATCTAGCGTAAACCGATCGCACTTATACAACTCGAGATACACATTACTAAAGCCATCTATTGGAAAAATAATGGATTTCTTTTTACTACACCTTATATATATATATATATATATTGCGACGGTACTCGCGAGCGGAACTTCTCGCGAGCGACGGCAAACAGTCGCCTGTTCGCCTCGTCGTCAAATTGCCGTCGGCTCCCGGACACGCCACAAAGATTTTCGCGAGAGTTGGGCGCCAGGTACGGAAAGGCCGCACCACCTCGATAAACGCGAGAATAAATACTTATCACAAAAGATGCGCGTCCCGGAACCGTCGGGACCGGTAGCTCGTGTTAAATTAAAGTCGGAGACGGGATGGGTTAGGAGGCGAAATCACTAAACTCGATAACGGTAATAAAGAGACGTTTATTCGGGGACTCTCGCACGTCCCGATAGTTAATGTACGCGAGACGATATAATTCGCGAGACGGTACACGAAGCCCGAGGACGCTTTCCTCGGGCGAGCCTTCTTTTTCCGCGCGACCACTCCGCGGACGAGACACGGCACGATACGATACGCGACACGAATATAATTGGAGCAGATGGTCAGTCTTACAATTTGCGGCGACAGCCCTTGCGTCGGCGGCGGCGTCAGCGGTGACGGCAGCGGTGGCAGTTCTCTCTCTCGGCGCTCGCTCTCTCGATCTCTCTCCTCTCTCTCTCTGCCGCTGTCCACTCCCTCTCGTCCGCACTATCTCGTTCTCTCGTTCTCTCTCTCCTCTTCTCTCTCTCTCTCTCTCTACTCTCTCTCTCTTCGCTCTCTCTCTCTGATCTCTCTCTCTTTCACGCACGATACTGGTCTCGGTAGTTTTCGATACGTCTGAGCGCGGCGGCAGTCGCGGTAAGGCTAACAGCTGATCGGCTCTGGGAGGATCACGTATCCTCGTGGATCCTCCTTCGTCGCTACCCCCCTTGTCCTGGGGTCGTCGATCGTCGAGAATCGGCAAATTTCGGTAGTATTGTCT